TTAACTTGCTTTGGGTCTAAACAATGACAGTAACAGCAACATATCAGAGCATGCCAAGTAATCTAACTAATAGTCCTAATTTGGTTGCAGAAAATCCAAATAGCAACATACACAAAAATAATGAAGCTTTAGTTTGTAGTCAAAACGTGCAATAAAAATAAACAACACACATCGTCAACAGGGGCGCTCACGATAATTGTTTTTTTACCCTTCTATCTGGCAACAAAACTGACACCTTTTTACAAGGAGTCATGTTTGCATAGACCGCAATACTTGCAGTCATAATACAAACAAAAGAACATAACTCTGATAATGTGCACTGTCCTTGAAGTTGATTGGTCCACACCCGAGACAGCTTTCCTTAGAGCCTAGTCTCACATGGGTTGGACCTGATGACGCCAAAAGGCGCACTGTAAAAAGGTGTCAGTTTTGTTGCCAGATAGAAGGGTAAAAAACAATTATCATATTTTTACTGACAAATGAGGTTCCCACAGGGACGCTCACCTCGTTGACGATTCGCTCTGCAAAGGCTTCTTCTTCTGCTGCTCACTCGTGCGCATTCCTCTCGACTGCGGGTGGAGGCGTGGCTATGACGTAACAGAGGTGACGTCACTACAGCGAAGCTCCGCCCCCACGCGCTTGGCGGGCGCACCACGTGGTGCAGTGCTGGTGGTGTGCGTCACCGGAAACAGCAGAGCCCTCGGTTCGACATTCAACATTTGCCCCCTCGCTTTGTGCTGTCTTTGATGTCGCCGTTACTGCGGCGAGGACTGAAGCGATGCCTGGCCATCAGGCCTGGCATATACCTAGGCCTCAGGCTTCATATTTGTTCGTAGTTATTTTTTGTTTAATTGGAATTATTAACTTGCATTTCATTAATTACATTTCAAGCGTATAGACACAATCCCATTGGTTTATTTACTTTTAAATTCAGGTTTTATTAGGGTTTTTGATCTGTAGTTATATTTAAGTAAGTGAGGTGGTTGTACTAAGTGTGAATTTGAGTTCCATGTGAATTATTATTGTGTAAAGGATGTGTCTGTGTGCACCTATCCTGGCAGTGGTAATTAGGGATTTTTATAATTTAGTTGTTAATGAGATTGTTTATTTGTGTGTGTCTGTTATCTATGTCTGTGTCAGGTTACATATCTATGTTTGGAGCTGTTTGTGTTTGTTTATTTATGATGGGTGGTGATGATGTTTCTTGATAATGGATGGTGGTGATGATGGTGGGTGGTGATTATGAAGGGTGGTAATGATGATGGTTGGTGATGATAACGTGTAGTGATTATGATGGGTGGTAATGATCATGGGTGGTGGTAATGATTGGTGAGTTTATGATGATGGGTGGTGATGGTTATGGGTGGTGATGATGATGGATGATTGGTGGTGGTTATGATGAATGTTGGTTGTGATGGTTGGTGATGGTGAGTTGATAGTGATAATGATGATTGGTGATGATTATGGGTGGTGATGAGTAAATGAGCCACCACCCAATACATAACAGCAACAGAAGTAACTACAGCAGCACCAATAACAGCAGCAACAACAGCAGCAGCAGCAACACGTTTTGAGGGCGACGCAACTACTTCTGATTCTGCTGTTTCTGCTGCTCGACTATTTGTAGCCAGGCCCTGCTCTCGCGGGACCCCACACATCTTTGGAAATGAATGCGATGATCATGTCTGAGCTGAGAATTAAGTGACTAAACGTTGCTTTGTTTAACAATAACTGTGTGTAGGTTAGTATCTGGGGGCTCAGCGAATACTATTCATGAAAGAACTCGCACTCCTTTATGACCGACTTTGTACTAATTTTGGTTGATCGAGACGAACACTGGATTAAACATGCACCTCTTAACCCCTGCCTCGCATTTACGACTAATAATTTGCATTTACACATAACATACAGTCAAGCACAGTAAAATGCTAATACGACAATATTGTTATTCTAGGAATTTGAATTCGATTCTAACCCTGCACCCCCACAGTTAGCATATCCAACTCCCAGGTCGATTGAACGTAAGCTTTCTTTTATATGAGCAGATTGCGATTTTAATACTTCTAATGGAATTCGAATACCGTATCCATAAATCGCCTAAATATGAAAATGTGTCGTTAAACCCGCCACCACCCACACACCCAATTAGTAAGGTTTGTCACGTGAACAGGACATGCTAATTCGTTACTAGTTCAGCACAATGGTGTGTTGGAGAGCCAAACCACAACATATACAATCTGAGTACGACGTTTCGCCAGTAATTACAACTATCTTCATTAGGCGACGGCCAGTTTTGTGGAGAAGTGCTCCTGTTTCGTTCCGTAAATAGAGAGGTAGATGTGATGACAAAACGTGTGTGCTCTTCTTGCGCGAAGTGGGGGAGGGGGGTGTTAATGGATATATATATATATGACTATGGGTACCCATTGCAGTTTGGGTTATTTATACGGTAATCAACGTACATTATACATGCGAATTAAGTGAACCCATTGACCTTGTACTTCTTGTCGATTTTGTGTACTAAAATAGCCTGCCAACGGTAATCCCAATTGAAGAATAGTGACCGGAATAGACATGCTTTAGTAACGAATTGTCATGTTCTGTTTAAGTGACAATCCTTACTATTTTCATGTGGCGGGTTTAACAAAATATATTTTTTACTTACGCAATTTTACCAGAAACCTGTTCGAGTGAACATATATTATACATATTTATTAGCAGAGTGCTATTCTAATACTTATAATGAGATTTTAATACCGTACCTCCGTTTATGGTTTAATAAATTATTAAACCAGTTTATAGTAGTTTAATGTTTAGTGCTATCGTTTATAATGTTACAGTTGACATGTTATAGAGTACAGGTGATCTCCAGTATACTTCGGGATTAGGGACCAGAATGCTGCGAAACGATTTATAACGGGGCCATTCGCCTCTAGGAACATGTTTATGGAGAGACAGCCAAGATACTGCTGGTTAAGGGCACACTTGTGTGACGGTGATTAGCGAATACTACTGAAGAATTAGCTCACACTCATTTATGATAGAATGTGTCATAATTTTGGTTGATTACGGAGAACAAGACACCTGCTATGTTGACGAATTCTTAGTACATATAGTGTACTTACCTATTATGCTAAAATATCGTTAACACTAGAATAAACTTGAAGTTCTTAGCCATCTCATCACGTTGCTTCAAATATGCTCTAGGTTGAGTGTCCTGATGTGGTCTGAAGCATTTACTGTGATTAAATTGAAGCATTCAAAGCGGTCCACAACCCTGAATTGTGCAGCTTGGAATAATGGAGGAATTCGAAATAAATTTTTTTTGAACCTGAGGCCATAATTAGGAGGTACATCACAAGCGAAAGCGATAGTATTTTCCAATAATATCTTCATTAATCGAGAACGAAAGTAGGAAGTTCAAATGGTGTCATATACCGCCTAATTTTCGAGTTGGATCTTTGGGGATGTATAATGTGTAAAGTTGAAGGTGCTAGGTGTTGTCTTCTTCTAACAGCTACTAACGTGCGTGTGGTCTGTTTTTAGGATTTGTCCATTGTTGTTGTTCGCTTTGTCGTGAGCATTTCTTGTTGAGTTCTGTCACTTTAGTGTTGCAGTTTGTTAAAGACTTCTCCACGTGAGCGTGATGTTTTGCTTAGTGGGAATTTCGCTTTGTTACAATTTGTGATTGTTTAAATAATTGTAACGATTCATAAGCTCATGAGCTTATAATGTGTTTGTGCGTTTGTTTATTAATAGAAAACTGTCTATTGCTCTTCGATACCATTGAGATGTAACATTCATCCAGCAGTGAAAATCGTGATTCTATAACGACCGTAGTGTAATTGTAATTATTTTAATCCGATCCTTGCACGTAGACTATACATACATATGAGCAAAGTGCTATTCTAATAAGACCACACTGTGATTCTACTGCTTAAAATGAGATTCTAATACCTTACCTCCGTTTATATGGTTCTAAATTAAAACACTAGTTTATAATCAATTAATGTTTAGTGTTATCGTTTATAGTATTACAGTTTACATGTTATAGAGTACAGTTTATCCCCGACATACTTCGGGATTAGGGACTGGTACGTTGATGAAAGATTAACAACAGGGACCTTTCCCCTCAAGGAACACGTGTTAATCGTGTAGACAGCTAAGATGCTGCCGGTTAAGGGCACACTTGTGTGACGGAGATCCTCCACCTGAAACTCGCTTAACATGTTTTTGCTAGGAACATTATAAAATAAAGACCGTACAAACATTTGTTAAAAATACATTTTTATTCATCTGCAATCATTTTTACGTCAAAACTCGAAGGGAATATGTATTATGTTCTATGTTCACACATTTCCAGTAAAATGCAAACCATTTTCGTTCTAGGAATACCAAAGCGTTAAAGTATCATTACCCATGATTTCCTTATTAGTTCACCACATTTGTTCACTGTGCGTCTATGTTGAAGTCAAGGCCATATATCCAACGAACGCGTCATCAATGTACATCCTGAAATCAGCTATGTAAAACCAATCAAAAAAGCCATGTTGAGTAAAGATGTATCTACAGACGCATTCCAACTTTAGCTCAACAGGAACACTTAACGACTACAATTGAACCCTCTCACAACCAGAGCTCATCACACCACTTCGGCAAGTTATCCGATAACATTACAAACCACCACTGTGCACGTCATTAAACTCACAAATACTGTAAAACTAAAATGGTCAAAATTACACACCAAAGTACTCGATACGGCTTAATAGGTATAACCACATGACATAATATTTTTTCAGTCACCCCGAGCTCTCTGGTTGACTCTCGAGCCACTCCATTACATCCAGCCATCTCTCGGGATCCAACTGCATGGGGTCGAAGGTGGAAACTTCTTCAGGACTCATTGCAGCACCTTGAATTTCAGCTTTTGATTTCAGTTTCCTATCATTGTGGACCTTCTGATGCCTGTTCCTGGTTGATGAGTGTGCAAATTTCTTCCCACACACAGAGCACGGGAATGGCTTCTCACCCGTGTGTGTTCTCTGATGAGTTTGAAGAGTTGATGACTGTGCAAATGTATTCCCACACACAGGGCATAGGAATGGCTTCTCGCCCGTGTGTGTTCTCTGATGAATCTGAAGATGTGATGACCTTGCAAATGTCTTCCCACACACAGGGCACAGGAATGGCTTCTCGCCCGTGTGTGTTCTCTGATGGGTTTGAAGAGTTGACGAGTGTGCAAATGTCTTCCCACACACAGAACACAGGAATAGCTTCTCGCCCGTGTGTGTTCTCTGGTGACTCTGAAGATGTGATGAGTGTGCAAATGCCTTCCCACACACAGGGCACAAGAATGGCTTCTCACCCGTGTGTGTTTTCTGGTGACTCTGAAGATGTGATGAGTGTGCAAATGTCTTCCCACACACAGAGCACAGGAACGACTTCTCGCCCGTGTGTGTTCTCCGGTGTCTCTGAAGATCTGATGGCCGTGAAAAGGACTTCCCACACACAGAGCAATTGAATGGCTTCTTGCCTCCGTGTACGTGGGGCTGTGGAGAGCGTCTCTGCTCCATGTGAGCGTAGTAACAGCAGCGGTGTTATCGAGTCAAAAGAACGCTATCGGCCGCAAGGATGTTTAGCGTCGAGTTTTGGATTTTGTTAACTGCTAAAACAAGAACGACACTCGCGTCTAACCGAGACGCAAAATAATCCCGCAAATTTGACGAACACGTTTAAGAGTTTATCCGCGAAAATAGACACTTACTTGGAGATTCACGGTATATCGATGTCTGGAACCCGTCTGAAGATGTCGCCACAAACTCTCCCGACCCAAAGTCGCCTAACTGTCGACACAGCAATTGTGCTCGCCAGGTTGCGTTGTCTCGCGGTTGAAGGGCGATCAGCAGAGCGACGAGTCGAGCGTCCAACCTCATCAAGTTCCCTCTCGAAATGGCATTGAGCTCTGCTTCTGAGCCGCCTTATAACTCCCCCCCTAGGATCCAATCCTTTGTCTTTCAGGATATTTGCATTCGATTGTTAATTTTGGAAGGCACAATCCGCATGTCTATTAACATACCGAAGGGTAATGTGCCCATTGTGCTTCATGCATGAATATGTAAGTGCATCTCAGTGTGTAATTGTGCGCTTATTTTGAATAAAAACTTTGTCCTCGATTTAAAGTGAATGCAGAGAAATTAGCACGTAACTTTAGAAAAGGAAGAGAGCGGCCTTCTCGACGAGGGAGTGAAACCCAATAGGTAATCTTCTTCCTAGCGTTGTTCCCGCTGTGGCGCAGGGTCCGCTTTTTGGCATTGTCTTCTCTATTTGGCTCGGTCCAGGGCATCTTCAGGGGATGCGTTGACCGTCTTTATGTCTTCCTTTATTCGATCCATCCATCGCTTCTTCGGACGTCCGCGTGGACGGCGGCCCTCTGGCTCAATACGCACGGCAGTCTTGGCCACTGATGACTCTTCACTTCGCATCACATGGCCGTACCACCGAAGCCTTGCCTCAAGCATCTTGTCCGCAATGGGGGCCACACCAAGTCGATTCCGAACGTCTTCGTTCATGACACGATCCCATCGAGTGAGTTCGAGGCTCCATCTGAGCATCCTCATCTCCATGGTGTGGAGAGCTTGTTCGTGAACAGTTGTAGCTGGCCAGCACTCGGATCCATAGAGTGCCACCGGTCGGACGATGGTCTTGTAAATTTATTCCCTTCAGCCTATCCTTGGTATCTGCTGGGCAGCCAGGCTGCGGCGCATACCACCAAAGTGTTATTCAAATAATTGTAATCCCATCCTGATCCTGCACCTTCATGTTTCACATATCCCACCATTGGTTCGCACGTCCATATTACATACATACATGTTACATGCATACATATTACATACAGACATATCTCATGCATACATATTACATACAGACATGTTACATACTGACGAGCAAATTGTGATTCCTAGAGGACCACGGTGTGAAGCTAAGAATTCGAATTCAAATATCACACTTCAATGTACGGTGTTCTAATCTTTAACACCAGTTTATTGTTATTTTATAGCGTTATAATGTATAGCTAATAGCTTATATTGTTAGAGTTCACAACATTATAGTTTACTATAACACTAGTTTGTAGTGTTATTTTTAAGCGGTACAATGTATAGCTCATAGTTTGAAGGTTATATTGTTAGAGTTTATAATGTTAGAGTATACAATGTGAGTTTACAATTTGAGAGTTTGTTGAAGTGACCTGTTCTCGTGGGACCCGACACGGATTTGGAAATTATTGCTAAGATCATGTCTGAGCTGAGATGAGCGACTAATGTTTACTTTGTTTAATCATAACTGTGTGTAGGTTAGTGTCATCGGGGCTTAGTGAATACTACTCATGAATGAACTCATACTTCTTTCCGATATAAATTGAAATCATGTTGGTAGAACAAGTCGCCTGCCTTTTCTAGACGAATTGTTATCTTCAAGTGCGTCCGAAAATAAACTGCTAATATACACTGCATAGGGAAGGCTGCCTTGTTGGGGAGATGTAGTTTGGCTCAGGCGCTGTGGCCGGGTGATGACACGGATTCTGAAACAATGGAGTTAAACACTCGCTGCTTGGCCCCGTCGACAGCAGCGAAGGCTGTCATATACCGCCCCATTTACGAGTTGGCTCTTTGGGGCTGTTTGTGAATAGTTGAAGGTGCTCGGTGTTGTTTTCTTCTAACAGCTACTAACGTGCGCGTGTTGTCTGTTTTTAGGATTTGTCCATAGATGTTGTTCTTTTTATTGCGGCATTTTTTTGTTAAGTTCTGTCACTTGAGTGTAGCAGTTTGTTTAAAAATTCGTCACGTGAGCGTGGTGTTTTGCTTGTGGGAATTTCGCTTTGTCACAATTTGTGATTGTTATAATAATTGTAACGATTCATAATCTCATGAGTTTATAATGGGTTTGTGCGTGTATTTATATAAATATATTCCGTCTTTTGTTATTCGATGACATCTAGCATTAAAAATCGTGATTGTCATATGACCATGTTGTAATTGTAATAATTTTTATCCGATCTTTGCACGTACACTATACAAACATATGAGCATAGTGCGATTCTTATACGACCACACTGCTTTTAATGATTCTAATGATATTATAATACCTTACCTCCGTTTATATGGTTATAAATTAAAACACTAGTTTATAATCGTTCAATGTTTAGTGTTATCGTTTATAGTATTACAGTTTACATGTTATAGAGTACAGTTTATCCCCGACATACTTCGGGATTAGTGACTGGTACGTTGATGAACGATTAACTACGGGGACCTTTCCACCTCAAGGAACACGTGTTAATCGCGTAGACAGCCAAGATGCTGCCGGTTATGGGCACACTTGTGTGACGGTGATCCTCCACCTGAAATTAGCTTAACATGTTTTTGCTAGGAACATTATAAAATAAAGAACGGACAAACATTTGTAAAAAAAACGTTTTTATTAATCTGCAATCACTTTTACGTCAAAACTCGAAGGGAATATTTATTATGTCCTATGTTCACACATTTCCAGTACAATGCAAACCATTTCCGTTCTAGGAATACCAAAGCGTTAAAGTATCATTCCCCATGATTTCCTTATTAGTTCATCACGTTTGTTCACTGTGCGTATATGTTGAAGTCAAGGCCATATATCCAACGAACGCGTCATCAATGTACATCCTGAAATCAGCTATCTAAAATCGATTAATACCAATCAAAAAAAGCCATACACTTGACAAAAAATCTTTAAAATGTTGAGTAAAGATGTACCTACAGACGCATTCCAACTTTAGCTCAACAGGAACATATAACGACTACAATTGAACCCTCTCACAACCAGTGCTCATCACACCACTTCGGCAAGTAATCCGATAACATTACAAACCACCACCGGGCACGTCATTAAACTCTCACAAACTGTAAAACTAAAATGGCTAAAATTACACACAAAAGTACTCGATACGGCTTAAAAGGTATAACCACGTAACATAATATTTTTTTTCAGTCACCCCGAGCTCTCTGGTTGACTCTCGAGCCACTCCATTACATCCAGCCATCTCTCGGGATCCAACTGCATGGGATCGAAGGTGGAAACTTCTTCAGGACTCATTGCAGCACCTTGAATTTCAGCTTTTGATTTCAGTTTCCTATCATTGTGGACCTTCTGATGCCTGTTCATGGTTGATGACCGTACAAATGCCTTCCCACACACAGGGCACAGGAATGGCTTCTCGCCCGTGTGTGTTCTCTGATGACTCTGAAGATGTGATGACTGTGCAAATGTCTTCCCACACACAGAACACACGAACGGCTTCTCACCCGTGTGTGTTCTCTGATGACTCTGAAGATGTGATGACTTTGCAAATGTCTTCCCACACACAGGGCACAGGAATGGCTTGTCGCCCGTGTGTGTTTTCTGATGACTCTGAAGATGTGATGACCTTGCAAATTTCTTACCACACACAGGGCACAGGAATGGCTTCTCGCCCGTGTGTGTTCTCTGATGACTCTGAAGATGTGATGAGTTTGCAAATGCCTTCCCACACACAGGGCACAGGAATGGCTTCTCGCCCGTGTGTGTTCTCTGATGACTCTGAAGATGTGATGACTGTGCAAATGTCTTCCCACACACAGGGCACAGGAATGGCTTCTCGCCCGTGTGTGTTCTCTGATGACTCTGAAGATTTGATGAGTTTGCAAATTTCTTCCCACACACAGGGCACAGGAATGGCTTCTGGCCCGTGTGTGTTCTCTGATGACTCTGAAGATGTGATGAGTTTGCAAATTTCTTCCCACACACAGGGCACAGGAATGGCTTTTCGCCCGTGTGTGTTCTTTGATGAATATGAAGATGTGATGACTGAGCAAATGTCTTCCCACACACAGAGCACAGGAACGGCTTCTCGCCAGTGTGTGTCCTTTTGTGTATTTTAAGACGTGATGGCCGTGAAAATGCCTTCCTACACACAGAGCAATTAAATGACTCCTTGCGCCCGTGTGCATGAGGCTGTGGAGAGCGTATCTTGTCCATGTGAGTGTAGTAACAGTAGTGGTGTTATCGAGTCAAAAGTACGCTATCGGCCGCAACGATGTTTAGCGTTGAGTTTTGGATTTTGTTAACTACTAAAACAAGAACGACACTCGTGTTTAACCGATGAACATCAAAATCACGTCAATTTGACGACGAACAGGTTTAAGAGTTCATCCGCGAAAATAGACAATTACTTGGAGATTCACGATATATATCGGTGTCTGAAACCCGTCTGAAGATGTCGCCACGAACTCTCCCGACGCAAAGTCGCCTAACTGTCGACACAGCAATTGTGCTCGCCAGGCTGCGTTGTCTCGCGGTTGAAGGGCGATCAGCAGAGCGACGAGTCGAGCGTCCAACCTCATCAGGTTCTCTCTCGAAATGGCATTGAGCTCTGCTTCTGAGCCGCCTTATAACTCCCCCCCTAGGATCCAATCTTTTGTGTTTCAGGATATTTGCATTCGATTGTTAATTTTGAAGGTACAATCCGCATGTCTATTAACATACCGAAAGGGTAATGTGCCCATTGTGATTCATGCATGAATATGTAAGTGCATCTCAGTGTGTAATTGTGCGCTTATTTTGAATAAATGGGATTAGCGCTGGAAAAACACGTTCCCCATGCCCTCCATTGTCCTCGATTTAAAGTGAATGCAGCCCTGTGGCGTTGCCAAAAATCGCCGAGCTTCGGGAGTGAGCACGTACAGACGCGTAGTTACCACACTTGCAACACAATCACTCTAACATCAGTAACCAAAATCCGATCTGGTACATGGTCTCCGCTTGGTCTGGTTTGTATCCGTCATCACCCCGGAGACCAACAGCGAGGCATGGTTTGGCCAGCCACCACCTCGTTTGCTGCAGCGACTTTAATTGCTGCTCTCAAACAACACTATCACCAATAGTGGTTTATGGGCTAGGCTGTTAAGCGGACAATCAGTCTTTTTGGGCAAGGCGTATGGGAAAATACACACCTCTGTTATCCCATGAACACAATAAACAGCATCGGTAAGGCTGCCTTGATGGGGAGATGTAGTTTGGGTAAGGTGCTGTCACTGGAGTTCGGCGATGTGACTGGGGTATCACGCGGATTCCGAAAAACAGCTTAGACGAAACGACCCACTGCGCTCCATCTCCCCACATGGACAACGACATTTTAAAAAAATTGAAAACATATTTTAAAATACCTATTTGAAATAATGTGGTGTATATATGTTACCATGTGTGGTTGTTATGATTTTTGTATGTGTATATATATACTGTATATAGCATTTCGATTGTAACGATTCATAAGCTCATTATATTATAATGGGTTTGTGCGTGTATTTATATATAAATATGCCGTCTTTTGCTATTCGATGACATTGAGATGAGACCTTCATCTTGCAGTGTAATACGACCGTGTTGTAAATTTTATCATTTTTATCCGATCCTTGCACGGAGACTATATATACATATGAGCAGAGTGTGAGTCTAATACGACCACACTGTGATTCTAATGCTTCTAATGAGATTATAATACCTTACCTCCGTTTATATGGTTCTAAATTTAAACACTAGTTCATAGTCTTCTTGGTTCTTTCCGTAAAGTCACGTAGAAGAGACGTAATAAAATAAATCTCATTAGAAGTATTAAAATCGCACTCTATAGATATGTATGTAAATTATCTGTTCAATCGATCCGGGGGTCGGATATGTGAACTGTGGGGGTACAGGACATGAATCGCATTCAAATTTTAGAATAACAATATGGTCGTAATTGGTTCTTTACCCTTCTATCTGGCCACAAAACTGACACCTTTTTGCAAGGAGTCATGTTTGCATAGACCGCAATACCTGCAGTCATAAATACAAACAAAAGACATAACTCTGATAATGTGCACTGTCCTTATGTCTTTTGTTTGTATTTATGACTGCAGGTATTGCGGTCTATGCAAACATGACTCCTTGCAAAAAGGTGTCAGTTTTGTTGCCAGATAGAAGGGTAAAGAACTAATTATCATATTTTTACTGGCAAATGAGGTCCCCATAGTGTAGAATATGGTCGTATTAGCATTTTACTGTGCTTGAATGTATGTTATGTGCAAATGCAAATCGTTAGTCGTAAATGCGAGGGAGGGGTTAAGAGGTGCACGTTTAATCCAGTGTTAACATTTATTTTAGCATCATATTTAAGGACAATATTGTTGATAAGAATTCGTCTGGACATGGCACGTGCCTTGTTCTACTCGATCAACCAAAATTAGTACAATGTCGGTCATACAGGAGTGTGATTTCATTCATGAGTAGTATTCACAGAGCCCCGATGACACTAACCTACCTAAAGTTATGGTTAAACAAAGTAATCTTGAGTGACTTAAATATCAGCTCAGACATGATCATTGCAATCATTTCCAAAGACGTGTGGGATCCTGCGAGAGCAAGTCCCGACTACAAACAGCTGGGCAGCAGAATCCTAAGTAGCTGCGTCGCCCTCGAAATGTGATGTTGCTGCTGCTGTTGTCGCTACTGTTGTTGCTGCTGTAGTTGCTTCTGTTGCTGTGATATACGCAGGGAGGTGGTGTTCCGTGATGGGATGACGCTTTTGATTAAAGCCTCTGATCAAACTCACCCGATTGATGCCCTTGATCGTCGCATTTGATCAACTCTGATATTGTAGACTCTCACATGTTAAGCTCTAACATAGTGAAACATAATATTATAACCTATGAACTACAACCTATCCATTGTAACGCTGTAAAAGAATATTACCCATTGGGTTTCACTCCCTCGTCGAGAAGGCCGCTCTCATCCTTTTCTAAAGTTACATGCTAATTTCTCTGCATTCACTTTAAATCGAGGACAAAGTTTTTCCATTTATTCAAAATAAGCGCACAATTACACACTGAGATGCACTTACATATTCATGCATGAAGCACAATGGGCACATTACCCTTCGGTATGTTAATAGACATGCGGATTGTAACTTCCAAAATTAACAATCGAATGCAAATATCCTGAAAGACAAAGGATTGGATCCTTGGGGGGGAGCTATAAGGCGGCTCAGAAGCAGAGCTCAATGCCATTTCGAGAGGGAACTTGATGAGATTGGACGCTCGACTCGTCGCTCTGCTGATCGCCCTTCAACCGCGAGACAACGCAGTCTGGCGAGCACAATTGCTGCGTCGACAGTTAGGCGACTTTGCGTCGGGAGAGTTCGTGGCGACATCTTCAGACGGGTTCTAGACATCGATATACCGTGAATCTCCAAGTAGGTGTCTATTTTCGCGGATAAACTCTTAAACGTGTTCGTCGTCAAATTAGCGGGATTTTTTGCGTCTCGGTTAGACGCGAGTGTCGTTCTTGTTTTAGCTGTTAACAAAATCCAAAACTCAACGCTAAACATCCTTGCGGCCGATAGCGTACTTTTGACTCGATAACAGCGCTGCGCTCACATGGAGCAGAGACGCTCTCCACAGACCCACGTACACGGAGGCAAGAAGCCATCCAATTGCTCTGTGTGTGGGAAGGAATTTTCACGGCAATCAAATCTCAAGAGACACCAGAGAACACACACGGGTGAGAAGCAATTCCTGTGTTCTGTATGTGGGAAAACATTTGCACAGGCATCAAATCTTCAAACTCACCAGAGAACACACACCGGCGAGAAGCCATTCTTGTGCCCTGTGTGTGGGAAGACATTTGCAGACTCATCAACTCTTCAAACTCATCAGAGAACACACACAGGCGAGAAGCCATTCCTGTGCCCTGTGTGTGGGAAGACATTTGCACAGGCATCAACTCTTCAGCGTCACCAGAAAACACACACGGGCGAGAAGCCATTCCTGTGCTCTGTGTGTGGGAAGTCATTTGCACGGTCATCAACTCTTAACAGGCATCAGAAGGTCCACAATGATAGGAAGCTGAAATCAAAAGGTGAAATTCAAGGTGCTGCAATGAATTCTGAAGAAGATTCCACCTTCGATCCCATGCAGTTGGATCCCGAGAGATGGCTGGATGTAATGGAGTGGCTCGAGGATCAAACCGAGAGCTCGGGGTGACTGAAATGTGGCCGAAACGTCGTGAGAATTGTTTTATTATGTTTTATTTTTATTATTTTATTACTTCCCTTCTACGTGACTTTACCGAAAGAACCAAGAAGATGCTGGTAGAATGTTCCATCTGAATGGCACCGAATAGCAATATACAGTATTGATATTTTGCGTGGAGCCTACAAGCGCAACCTTGCGCATTTTGACCTGGTTCTCGACGCCCGTCCGGCGCCCATGGTAGAATCTTGTGCATTTCGGGGCGTCAAGGGTTCGCACCACAGCCTTGAAGGATTAGGCAGGTCCCTGGCTTCTTTTGAAGAATTTGACCAGGCTCCAGGCACCGGTTCCTCGCACGTGGCGGATCCTTGAGGCACCACGGGCCTTAAACTATACATTATAACGCTATACAATAACATTATTAACTAGTGTTATAGATTAGAACAACCTACAATGAAGTGTGATATTCTAATCGCATTCGAATTTTTCGAATCACTCCGTAATCCTCCTAAAATCACATTACAGTCGTAAGTATGTAACATGTCTGTAGTAAGTATATGTGCATGTATGTATGTAACGTGTATGTATGTAATATTGGGTTTGTGTGATTACTTTATATATACATACTGAATATTGCTATTTGATGCCATTGAGATTAACATTCATCCAGCAGTGGATAGCTTGGTCCAATACCACCAAAGTGTTATTCAAATAATTTTAATCCCATCCTGATTCTGCACGTTCCGTTTCACATATCCCACCATTGGTTCGCACGTCCATATTACATACATGCACTAGCAGTCGCCGCCCGCTTCGCAGTCGGTGTGCATATGCTTGGTTGGTGCGGAGTTGAAAGTGGCTGGACACAATATACATGTTTTGGTGATTGTTCAATGTTTATTTTTGTGAGGTTATATTTATTTTTATGAGACGCTCAATCGACAATATTAAAGAATGCAACTTATTCAAATATAGAATGCAACCTATTGAAATATCTGGCGATACACGATATTCTTCGTGTACACTCAGTCTTCCTCCTCGTCGTCAGGTCCCTCAATAAGCGCCTTGATGTTGGATCTTGCCGTGACTCGCGATAGTGCCACGTACAGTTGGCCGTGCGAGAAGCATGGCGTTGGTAGATATAATCCCAGGTTGTGAACAGTTTGCCCTTGCGCCTTGTTGATGGTCATCGCGAAGGCTGGGACAATGGGGAACTGTTTGCGCCGAAGTCAGAATGGGAAGTCCTTCGTGTTGTCGTCGCTGATGAAGATGATCCGAGGGATCAACACCTCCTTACCGTTATGGGTTCCTGTCATGATAGTCGCGCGAATGACGGGTGGCTTCATTTGCACGATGCGAAGCCGTGTTCGGTTGCACAGGCCAGCGTCCGGGTTCAAGTTGCGCAATATCATCACTGGGATGCCTTTGTTGAGGATCAACTTGTGTGGGGGAACCCCGTTGATGTTCACCGAGTTGAGGACCTCTGTCTCAAAGAATGCTGACCCTGCTCTCTCGTCGTCCTCAACCGAATCTGTAGACAGGTACACTTGTGGAGTTTCTCTGAGACGATCCACGACACCCTCATTCACTCGCTGCACAGCGGCGTTGGTCGGTGTCAGAATAGTGCGGCGAGCGAAGTAGTCGTTCGTTGCCACCGTAGGGTAATTCAATTCATCTGCACTGTACATGGCATCGACAATCCTCTTCAACCCGAGTGGAACGGGCAGATGACTGCCGTCCTCATCTCCGTCGATGTCTGGGTCGTATTCAGGATTGTCGATCACCATGGCACGCGGAGTCTTCATGCAATCTGGACCGAGGTCTGGATCAACTTCATGCCTACCCTCTCCGACTTCCAAAATAAATTTTGAAAAGGCAGCAAGTTCTGCGGCGGATTCTTGGTTCTCTGCACACTGGACTCTCATGTTCACAGTCAGATGAACTTGCTTAAAGTGGGACCACAGGTCGGACGACTTGAAATACGCATCCACAGTATCAGCTGGTGTTCCTTTCTTGACAACTGGAAGAATCTGTCGAAAGTCAACGGACAGGACAACCACTTTGCCTCCAAACGGTTCATGCAGATTGTCCAAAATATCGCGAAGTGTGCGATCCACTGCTTCAAACGCAAACCTGGGCGTCATTGGGGCTTCATCCCAAACGATAAGACTTGCCTCCTTGATAAATGTTTTGAGCTTGGACTGTTTGCGAATGAAGCATGTGGATATGTTCGTCGGTTTCAACGGGATCTTGAACATGGAATGCGCGGTACGGCCGCCTGGAAGCAGCAGCGAGGCAATGCCGCTGGAATCAACAGCAATCGCAATCTTGCCTTGAAGACGTATCTTCGCCAGCACATGGTTGAGCAGCGTGGACTTCCCCGTGCCGCACGGACCATCGATGAAGAACAGCTTTTGATCGGGTTGACTGTCTTCGACTGAGCCAACAATTTCGTCGTAGATTTCTGTCTGGTTCGTGTTGAGTCTGTCAGCATCTTCTACGATGTCTTGTAGCTCGTTTCTATCAGATCCTTCCAATTCGCGGCGGATATGGATCTTCGCAAGCTGCGAGTCCAAGACCAAGTGTGGGTACTCGGAAAGCTGCGGGAGGTCGTCAAAGTCCGACAGAGCCATCCCACCTGCCGTGAGGAACTCGTGGAGGCTGTGAAGGGTCTTGAACTTTACCATTTGTTCTTTGTTGGTCAGCTGGCGGTACTGGTACTCGTAATCGCGAGCCAATTCGTCGTAGAATTTATCCCAGAGATCCTTCGTATCTGCTGGCTTGGAATACAGCAGAATCGTAGCGAAAAGTTGACGAAGCTGGTACGGCATCTGAAAGAGCGAGGCTTCTTCCAGACACGCAACCCATTCGCAATCGCTCTCAAGGTAGCCTGCTCGCATTTGATCAACTCTGATATTGTATACTCTCACATGTTAAGCTCTGTCATAGTGAAACATAATAGTATAACCTATGAACTACAACCTATCCATTGTAACGTTGTAAAAGAAGATTACCCATTGGGTTTCACTCCCTCGTCGAGAAGGCCGCTCTCTTCCTTTTATAAAGTTACATGCTAATTTCTCTGCATTCACTTTAAATCGAGGACGAAACTTTTCCATTTATTCAAAATAAGCGCACACTTACACACTGAGATGCACTTACATATTCATGCATGAAGCACAATGGGCACATTACTCTTCGGTATGTTAATAGACATGCGGATTGTGCCTTCCAAAATTAACAATCGAATGCAAATATCCTGAAAGACAAAGGATTGGATCCTAGGGGGGGAGTTATAAGGCGGCTCAGAAGGGGACCTTTCCCCTCAAGGAACACGTGTTAATCGTGTAGACAGCTAAGATGCTGCCGGTTAAGGGCACACTTGTGTGACGGAGATCCTCCACCTGAAACTCGCTTAACATGTTTTTGCTAGGAACATTATAAAATAAAGACCGTACAAACATTTGTTAAAAATACATTTTTATTCATCTGCAATCATTTTTACGTCAAAACTCGAAGGGAATATGTATTATGTTCTATGTTCACACATTTCCAGTAAAATGCAAACCATTTTCGTTCTAGGAATACCAAAGCGTTAAAGTATCATTACCCATGATTTCCTTATTAGTTCACCACATTTGTTCACTGTGCGTCTATGTTGAAGTCAAGGCCATATATCCAACGAACGCGTCATCAATGTACATCCTGAAATCAGCTATGTAAAACCAATCAAAAAAGCCATGTTGAGTAAAGATGTATCTACAGACGCATTCCAACTTTAGCTCAACAGGAACACTTAACGACTACAATTGAACCCTCTCACAACCAGAGCTCATCACACCACTTCGGCAAGTTATCCGATAACATTACAAACCACCACTGTGCACGTCATTAAACTCACAAATACTGTAAAACTAAAATGGTCAAAATTACACACCAAAGTACTCGATACGGCTTAATAGGTATAACCACATGACATAATATTTTTTCAGTCACCCCGAGCTCTCTGGTTGACTCTCGAGCCACTCCATTACATCCAGCCATCTCTCGGGATCCAACTGCATGGGGTCGAAGGTGGAAACTTCTTCAGGACTCATTGCAGCACCTTGAATTTCAGCTTTTGATTTCAGTTTCCTATCATTGTGGACCTTCTGATGCCTGTTCCTGGTTGATGAGTGTGCAAATTTCTTCCCACACACAGAGCACGGGAATGGCTTCTCACCCGTGTGTGTTCTCTGATGAGTTTGAAGAGTTGATGACTGTGCAAATGTATTCCCACACACAGGGCATAGGAATGGCTTCTCGCCCGTGTGTGTTCTCTGATGAATCTGAAGATGTGATGACCTTGCAAATGTCTTCCCACACACAGGGCACAGGAATGGCTTCTCGCCCGTGTGTGTTCTCTGATGGGTTTGAAGAGTTGACGAGTGTGCAAATGTCTTCCCACACACAGAACACAGGAATAGCTTCTCGCCCGTGTGTGTTCTCTGGTGACTCTGAAGATGTGATGAGTGTGCAAATGCCTTCCCACACACAGGGCACAAGAATGGCTTCTCACCCGTGTGTGTTTTCTGGTGACTCTGAAGATGTGATGAGTGTGCAAATGTCTTCCCACACACAGAGCACAGGAACGACTTCTCGCCCGTGTGTGTTCTCCGGTGTCTCTGAAGATCTGATGGCCGTGAAAAGGACTTCCCACACACAGAGCAATTGAATGGCTTCTTGCCTCCGTGTACGTGGGGCTGTGGAGAGCGTCTCTGCTCCATGTGAGCGTAGTAACAGCAGCGGTGTTATCGAGTCAAAAGAACGCTATCGGCCGCAAGGATGTTTAGCGTCGAGTTTTGGATTTTGTTAACTGCTAAAACAAGAACGACACTCGCGTCTAACCGAGACGCAAAATAATCCCGCAAATTTGACGAACACGTTTAAGAGTTTATCCGCGAAAATAGACACTTACTTGGAGATTCACGGTATATCGATGTCTGGAACCCGTCTGAAGATGTCGCCACAAACTCTCCCGACCCAAAGTCGCCTAACTGTCGACACAGCAATTGTGCTCGCCAGGTTGCGTTGTCTCGCGGTTGAAGGGCGATCAGCAGAGCGACGAGTCGAGCGTCCAACCTCATCAAGTTCCCTCTCGAAATGGCATTGAGCTCTGCTTCTGAGCCGCCTTATAACTCCCCCCCTAGGATCCAATCCTTTGTCTTTCAGGATATTTGCATTCGATTGTTAATTTTGGAAGGCACAATCCGCATGTCTATTAACATACCGAAGGGTAATGTGCCCATTGTGCTTCATGCATGAATATGTAAGTGCATCTCAGTGTGTAATTGTGCGCTTATTTTGAATAAAAACTTTGTCCTCGATTTAAAGTGAATGCAGAGAAATTAGCACGTAACTTTAGAAAAGGAAGAGAGCGGCCTTCTCGACGAGGGAGTGAAACCCAATAGGTAATCTTCTTCCTAGCGTTGTTCCCGCTGTGGCGCAGGGTCCGCTTTTTGGCATTGTCTTCTCTATTTGGCTCGGTCCAGGGCATCTTCAGGGGATGCGTTGACCGTCTTTATGTCTTCCTTTATTCGATCCATCCATCGCTTCTTCGGACGTCCGCGTGGACGGCGGCCCTCTGGCTCAATACGCACGGCAGTCTTGGCCACTGATGACTCTTCACTTCGCATCACATGGCCGTACCACCGAAGCCTTGCCTCAAGCATCTTGTCCGCAATGGGGGCCACACCAAGTCGATTCCGAACGTCTTCGTTCATGACACGATCCCATCGAGTGAGTTCGAGGCTCCATCTGAGCATCCTCATCTCCATGGTGTGGAGAGCTTGTTCGTGAACAGTTGTAGCTGGCCAGCACTCGGATCCATAGAGTGCCACCGGTCGGACGATGGTCTTGTAAATTTATTCCCTTCAGCCTATCCTTGGTATCTGCTGGGCAGCCAGGCTGCGGCGCATACCACCAAAGTGTTATTCAAATAATTGTAATCCCATCCTGATCCTGCACCTTCATGTTTCACATATCCCACCATTGGTTCGCACGTCCATATTACATACATACATGTTACATGCATACATATTACATACAGACATATCTCATGCATACATATTACATACAGACATGTTACATACTGACGAGCAAATTGTGATTCCTAGAGGACCACGGTGTGAAGCTAAGAATTCGAATTCAAATATCACACTTCAATGTACGGTGTTCTAATCTTTAACACCAGTTTATTGTTATTTTATAGCGTTATAATGTATAGCTAATAGCTTATATTGTTAGAGTTCACAACATTATAGTTTACTATAACACTAGTTTGTAGTGTTATTTTTAAGCGGTACAATGTATAGCTCATAGTTTGAAGGTTATATTGTTAGAGTTTATAATGTTAGAGTATACAATGTGAGTTTACAATTTGAGAGTTTGTTGAAGTGACCTGTTCTCGTGGGACCCGACACGGATTTGGAAATTATTGCTAAGATCATGTCTGAGCTGAGATGAGCGACTAATGTTTACTTTGTTTAATCATAACTGTGTGTAGGTTAGTGTCATCGGGGCTTAGTGAATACTACTCATGAATGAACTCATACTTCTTTCCGATATAAATTGAAATCATGTTGGTAGAACAAGTCGCCTGCCTTTTCTAGACGAATTGTTATCTTCAAGTGCGTCCGAAAATAAACTGCTAATATACACTGCATAGGGAAGGCTGCCTTGTTGGGGAGATGTAGTTTGGCTCAGGCGCTGTGGCCGGGTGATGACACGGATTCTGAAACAATGGAGTTAAACACTCGCTGCTTGGCCCCGTCGACAGCAGCGAAGGCTGTCATATACCGCCCCATTTACGAGTTGGCTCTTTGGGGCTGTTTGTGAATAGTTGAAGGTGCTCGGTGTTGTTTTCTTCTAACAGCTACTAACGTGCGCGTGTTGTCTGTTTTTAGGATTTGTCCATAGATGTTGTTCTTTTTATTGCGGCATTTTTTTGTTAAGTTCTGTCACTTGAGTGTAGCAGTTTGTTTAAAAATTCGTCACGTGAGCGTGGTGTTTTGCTTGTGGGAATTTCGCTTTGTCACAATTTGTGATTGTTATAATAATTGTAACGATTCATAATCTCATGAGTTTATAATGGGTTTGTGCGTGTATTTATATAAATATATTCCGTCTTTTGTTATTCGATGACATCTAGCATTAAAAATCGTGATTGTCATATGACCATGTTGTAATTGTAATAATTTTTATCCGATCTTTGCACGTACACTATACAAACATATGAGCATAGTGCGATTCTTATACGACCACACTGCTTTTAATGATTCTAATGATATTATAATACCTTACCTCCGTTTATATGGTTATAAATTAAAACACTAGTTTATAATCGTTCAATGTTTAGTGTTATCGTTTATAGTATTACAGTTTACATGTTATAGAGTACAGTTTATCCCCGACATACTTCGGGATTAGTGACTGGTACGTTGATGAACGATTAACTACGGGGACCTTTCCACCTCAAGGAACACGTGTTAATCGCGTAGACAGCCAAGATGCTGCCGGTTATGGGCACACTTGTGTGACGGTGATCCTCCACCTGAAATTAGCTTAACATGTTTTTGCTAGGAACATTATAAAATAAAGAACGGACAAACATTTGTAAAAAAAACGTTTTTATTAATCTGCAATCACTTTTACGTCAAAACTCGAAGGGAATATTTATTATGTCCTATGTTCACACATTTCCAGTACAATGCAAACCATTTCCGTTCTAGGAATACCAAAGCGTTAAAGTATCATTCCCCATGATTTCCTTATTAGTTCATCACGTTTGTTCACTGTGCGTATATGTTGAAGTCAAGGCCATATATCCAACGAACGCGTCATCAATGTACATCCTGAAATCAGCTATCTAAAATCGATTAATACCAATCAAAAAAAGCCATACACTTGACAAAAAATCTTTAAAATGTTGAGTAAAGATGTACCTACAGACGCATTCCAACTTTAGCTCAACAGGAACATATAACGACTACAATTGAACCCTCTCACAACCAGTGCTCATCACACCACTTCGGCAAGTAATCCGATAACATTACAAACCACCACCGGGCACGTCATTAAACTCTCACAAACTGTAAAACTAAAATGGCTAAAATTACACACAAAAGTACTCGATACGGCTTAAAAGGTATAACCACGTAACATAATATTTTTTTTCAGTCACCCCGAGCTCTCTGGTTGACTCTCGAGCCACTCCATTACATCCAGCCATCTCTCGGGATCCAACTGCATGGGATCGAAGGTGGAAACTTCTTCAGGACTCATTGCAGCACCTTGAATTTCAGCTTTTGATTTCAGTTTCCTATCATTGTGGACCTTCTGATGCCTGTTCATGGTTGATGACCGTACAAATGCCTTCCCACACACAGGGCACAGGAATGGCTTCTCGCCCGTGTGTGTTCTCTGATGACTCTGAAGATGTGATGACTGTGCAAATGTCTTCCCACACACAGAACACACGAACGGCTTCTCACCCGTGTGTGTTCTCTGATGACTCTGAAGATGTGATGACTTTGCAAATGTCTTCCCACACACAGGGCACAGGAATGGCTTGTCGCCCGTGTGTGTTTTCTGATGACTCTGAAGATGTGATGACCTTGCAAATTTCTTACCACACACAGGGCACAGGAATGGCTTCTCGCCCGTGTGTGTTCTCTGATGACTCTGAAGATGTGATGAGTTTGCAAATGCCTTCCCACACACAGGGCACAGGAATGGCTTCTCGCCCGTGTGTGTTCTCTGATGACTCTGAAGATGTGATGACTGTGCAAATGTCTTCCCACACACAGGGCACAGGAATGGCTTCTCGCCCGTGTGTGTTCTCTGATGACTCTGAAGATTTGATGAGTTTGCAAATTTCTTCCCACACACAGGGCACAGGAATGGCTTCTGGCCCGTGTGTGTTCTCTGATGACTCTGAAGATGTGATGAGTTTGCAAATTTCTTCCCACACACAGGGCACAGGAATGGCTTTTCGCCCGTGTGTGTTCTTTGATGAATATGAAGATGTGATGACTGAGCAAATGTCTTCCCACACACAGAGCACAGGAACGGCTTCTCGCCAGTGTGTGTCCTTTTGTGTATTTTAAGACGTGATGGCCGTGAAAATGCCTTCCTACACACAGAGCAATTAAATGACTCCTTGCGCCCGTGTGCATGAGGCTGTGGAGAGCGTATCTTGTCCATGTGAGTGTAGTAACAGTAGTGGTGTTATCGAGTCAAAAGTACGCTATCGGCCGCAACGATGTTTAGCGTTGAGTTTTGGATTTTGTTAACTACTAAAACAAGAACGACACTCGTGTTTAACCGATGAACATCAAAATCACGTCAATTTGACGACGAACAGGTTTAAGAGTTCATCCGCGAAAATAGACAATTACTTGGAGATTCACGATATATATCGGTGTCTGAAACCCGTCTGAAGATGTCGCCACGAACTCTCCCGACGCAAAGTCGCCTAACTGTCGACACAGCAATTGTGCTCGCCAGGCTGCGTTGTCTCGCGGTTGAAGGGCGATCAGCAGAGCGACGAGTCGAGCGTCCAACCTCATCAGGTTCTCTCTCGAAATGGCATTGAGCTCTGCTTCTGAGCCGCCTTATAACTCCCCCCCTAGGATCCAATCTTTTGTGTTTCAGGATATTTGCATTCGATTGTTAATTTTGAAGGTACAATCCGCATGTCTATTAACATACCGAAAGGGTAATGTGCCCATTGTGATTCATGCATGAATATGTAAGTGCATCTCAGTGTGTAATTGTGCGCTTATTTTGAATAAATGGGATTAGCGCTGGAAAAACACGTTCCCCATGCCCTCCATTGTCCTCGATTTAAAGTGAATGCAGCCCTGTGGCGTTGCCAAAAATCGCCGAGCTTCGGGAGTGAGCACGTACAGACGCGTAGTTACCACACTTGCAACACAATCACTCTAACATCAGTAACCAAAATCCGATCTGGTACATGGTCTCCGCTTGGTCTGGTTTGTATCCGTCATCACCCCGGAGACCAACAGCGAGGCATGGTTTGGCCAGCCACCACCTCGTTTGCTGCAGCGACTTTAATTGCTGCTCTCAAACAACACTATCACCAATAGTGGTTTATGGGCTAGGCTGTTAAGCGGACAATCAGTCTTTTTGGGCAAGGCGTATGGGAAAATACACACCTCTGTTATCCCATAAACACAATAAACAGCATCGGTAAGGCTGCCTTGATGGGGAGATGTAGTTTGGGTAAGGTGCTGTCACTGGAGTTCGGCGATGTGACTGGGGTATCACGCGGATTCCGAAAAACAGCTTAGACGAAACGACCCACTGCGCTCCATCTCCCCACATGGACAACGACATTTTAAAAAAATTGAAAACATATTTTAAAATACCTATTTGAAATAATGTGGTGTATATATGTTACCATGTGTGGTTGTTATGATTTTTGTATGTGTATATATATACTGTATATAGCATTTCGATTGTAACGATTCATAAGCTCATTATATTATAATGGGTTTGTGCGTGTATTTATATATAAATATGCCGTCTTTTGCTATTCGATGACATTGAGATGAGACCTTCATCTTGCAGTGTAATACGACCGTGTTGTAAATTTTATCATTTTTATCCGATCCTTGCACGGAGACTATATATACATATGAGCAGAGTGTGAGTCTAATACGACCACACTGTGATTCTAATGCTTCTAATGAGATTATAATACCTTACCTCCGTTTATATGGTTCTAAATTTAAACACTAGTTCATAGTCTTCTTGGTTCTTTCCGTAAAGTCACGTAGAAGAGACGTAATAAAATAAATCTCATTAGAAGTATTAAAATCGCACTCTATAGATATGTATGTAAATTATCTGTTCAATCGATCCGGGGGTCGGATATGTGAACTGTGGGGGTACAGGACATGAATCGCATTCAAATTTTAGAATAACAATATGGTCGTAATTGGTTCTTTACCCTTCTATCTGGCCACAAAACTGACACCTTTTTGCAAGGAGTCATGTTTGCATAGACCGCAATACCTGCAGTCATAAATACAAACAAAAGACATAACTCTGATAATGTGCACTGTCCTTATGTCTTTTGTTTGTATTTATGACTGCAGGTATTGCGGTCTATGCAAACATGACTCCTTGCAAAAAGGTGTCAGTTTTGTTGCCAGATAGAAGGGTAAAGAACTAATTATCATATTTTTACTGGCAAATGAGGTCCCCATAGTGTAGAATATGGTCGTATTAGCATTTTACTGTGCTTGAATGTATGTTATGTGCAAATGCAAATCGTTAGTCGTAAATGCGAGGGAGGGGTTAAGAGGTGCACGTTTAATCCAGTGTTAACATTTATTTTAGCATCATATTTAAGGACAATATTGTTGATAAGAATTCGTCTGGACATGGCACGTGCCTTGTTCTACTCGATCAACCAAAATTAGTACAATGTCGGTCATACAGGAGTGTGATTTCATTCATGAGTAGTATTCACAGAGCCCCGATGACACTAACCTACCTAAAGTTATGGTTAAACAAAGTAATCTTGAGTGACTTAAATATCAGCTCAGACATGATCATTGCAATCATTTCCAAAGACGTGTGGGATCCTGCGAGAGCAAGTCCCGACTACAAACAGCTGGGCAGCAGAATCCTAAGTAGCTGCGTCGCCCTCGAAATGTGATGTTGCTGCTGCTGTTGTCGCTACTGTTGTTGCTGCTGTAGTTGCTTCTGTTGCTGTGATATACGCAGGGAGGTGGTGTTCCGTGATGGGATGACGCTTTTGATTAAAGCCTCTGATCAAACTCACCCGATTGATGCCCTTGATCGTCGCATTTGATCAACTCTGATATTGTAGACTCTCACATGTTAAGCTCTAACATAGTGAAACATAATATTATAACCTATGAACTACAACCTATCCATTGTAACGCTGTAAAAGAATATTACCCATTGGGTTTCACTCCCTCGTCGAGAAGGCCGCTCTCATCCTTTTCTAAAGTTACATGCTAATTTCTCTGCATTCACTTTAAATCGAGGACAAAGTTTTTCCATTTATTCAAAATAAGCGCACAATTACACACTGAGATGCACTTACATATTCATGCATGAAGCACAATGGGCACATTACCCTTCGGTATGTTAATAGACATGCGGATTGTAACTTCCAAAATTAACAATCGAATGCAAATATCCTGAAAGACAAAGGATTGGATCCTTGGGGGGGAGCTATAAGGCGGCTCAGAAGCAGAGCTCAATGCCATTTCGAGAGGGAACTTGATGAGATTGGACGCTCGACTCGTCGCTCTGCTGATCGCCCTTCAACCGCGAGACAACGCAGTCTGGCGAGCACAATTGCTGCGTCGACAGTTAGGCGACTTTGCGTCGGGAGAGTTCGTGGCGACATCTTCAGACGGGTTCTAGACATCGATATACCGTGAATCTCCAAGTAGGTGTCTATTTTCGCGGATAAACTCTTAAACGTGTTCGTCGTCAAATTAGCGGGATTTTTTGCGTCTCGGTTAGACGCGAGTGTCGTTCTTGTTTTAGCTGTTAACAAAATCCAAAACTCAACGCTAAACATCCTTGCGGCCGATAGCGTACTTTTGACTCGATAACAGCGCTGCGCTCACATGGAGCAGAGACGCTCTCCACAGACCCACGTACACGGAGGCAAGAAGCCATCCAATTGCTCTGTGTGTGGGAAGGAATTTTCACGGCAATCAAATCTCAAGAGACACCAGAGAACACACACGGGTGAGAAGCAATTCCTGTGTTCTGTATGTGGGAAAACATTTGCACAGGCATCAAATCTTCAAACTCACCAGAGAACACACACCGGCGAGAAGCCATTCTTGTGCCCTGTGTGTGGGAAGACATTTGCAGACTCATCAACTCTTCAAACTCATCAGAGAACACACACAGGCGAGAAGCCATTCCTGTGCCCTGTGTGTGGGAAGACATTTGCACAGGCATCAACTCTTCAGCGTCACCAGAAAACACACACGGGCGAGAAGCCATTCCTGTGCTCTGTGTGTGGGAAGTCATTTGCACGGTCATCAACTCTTAACAGGCATCAGAAGGTCCACAATGATAGGAAGCTGAAATCAAAAGGTGAAATTCAAGGTGCTGCAATGAATTCTGAAGAAGATTCCACCTTCGATCCCATGCAGTTGGATCCCGAGAGATGGCTGGATGTAATGGAGTGGCTCGAGGATCAAACCGAGAGCTCGGGGTGACTGAAATGTGGCCGAAACGTCGTGAGAATTGTTTTATTATGTTTTATTTTTATTATTTTATTACTTCCCTTCTACGTGACTTTACCGAAAGAACCAAGAAGATGCTGGTAGAATGTTCCATCTGAATGGCACCGAATAGCAATATACAGTATTGATATTTTGCGTGGAGCCTACAAGCGCAACCTTGCGCATTTTGACCTGGTTCTCGACGCCCGTCCGGCGCCCATGGTAGAATCTTGTGCATTTCGGGGCGTCAAGGGTTCGCACCACAGCCTTGAAGGATTAGGCAGGTCCCTGGCTTCTTTTGAAGAATTTGACCAGGCTCCAGGCACCGGTTCCTCGCACGTGGCGGATCCTTGAGGCACCACGGGCCTTAAACTATACATTATAACGCTATACAATAACATTATTAACTAGTGTTATAGATTAGAACAACCTACAATGAAGTGTGATATTCTAATCGCATTCGAATTTTTCGAATCACTCCGTAATCCTCCTAAAATCACATTACAGTCGTAAGTATGTAACATGTCTGTAGTAAGTATATGTGCATGTATGTATGTAACGTGTATGTATGTAATATTGGGTTTGTGTGATTACTTTATATATACATACTGAATATTGCTATTTGATGCCATTGAGATTAACATTCATCCAGCAGTGGATAGCTTGGTCCAATACCACCAAAGTGTTATTCAAATAATTTTAATCCCATCCTGATTCTGCACGTTCCGTTTCACATATCCCACCATTGGTTCGCACGTCCATATTACATACATGCACTAGCAGTCGCCGCCCGCTTCGCAGTCGGTGTGCATATGCTTGGTTGGTGCGGAGTTGAAAGTGGCTGGACACAATATACATGTTTTGGTGATTGTTCAATGTTTATTTTTGTGAGGTTATATTTATTTTTATGAGACGCTCAATCGACAATAT